CCTATATGACGATTGGCGAGGAAGTCCTTATACCGTTGCCATTGTCTGTGACAGAATAAGGTAATCCTGAAAACAGGCCTCAATAGAAGGCCTGAAAATCAAAGGAAACCAAATTGAACAAGTTTTCTTCAATAAATCAGTGACTCAGTGATTTAGGACGATGTTACCCTTTACTTTTTTGGTAAAACACAAAAATCTTCTTTTTTTTCGATTTAACACGATCTTACCCGTTGTGTTGCTTTTAACACAATATATATATATATATATATAGTTTTTTTCATAATATATTTAAATGTGTGCTCAATAATACAAATATTATAGTTCTGCTAGCTTTTGTTCTAACCAAAGCAAAAAAAAAACAATTTCCAAAAACGCGTTTTGCCTCTTGAGCCATAGTCGATACTAAAACTGGCATTATATAACTATACCTTTGCTAAACAAACATTTACATTTCGTTAATCAGTTTAAAGCAGGTCACATGCTATTGGGCCAGCATTGCACATAGCGTTCCTGATTGGTGTCTTTGGTAAAATATGATTCAATACAAACACAATGCTTTCTCTTTAAACACAGCTTTAAATACGTAGTTCCAGAAAAAAAAAAAAAAAAAATGGACTATTCGGTATGGTGATTGACCATGTGGACTTATTTAAATAATTTTTAAATGTTATCGGAGTTGTCGAGATCATAATTGTCATTTCAGGCGAGTAACTAAATTTCTCTTACTTACTTATGCCAATCAAGAGTATCTATCAGTTGCTTGTATCTGCTTTGTCGTCTATAGTCTATTTAATGTGAAGTGGACGTCAAAGGATGTCAAAGGACTTATCGATATTCCCTTTGCACACACTATAACATTTAAATATCCGACTTACATTCAATAATTTGAAAAACCTTTAGAACATGGTAACCAGGTAAGCTTCAATTGAAACATATATACACATATACATTTTTTTTGTACGTTTACATTCATTTTGGTTTTATTGTTGTTTAATATAAATCGTTAAAAGTGTATAAATTAAAAAAATAAATTATATTTGGATAGAGAAATATTTTGTGTCTGAAATTAAATATTTGGTTTATAAAATTTTTAGGTCATTTTATGAGGAATGTCTGCGAGTTTCGTGATAAATGAAAATGCTTAAAAGAAGTGCCGCAAGTTGTTTTCGTATATGCCGTTTACCAAATTGCATATGGAATGATATTGCTTGCAGTTACGCGACATTACTTGAAAAACATATAAAATCTTTAACGCGAAGGCAACGATTATGGCATCTGGCAAAGCCCAGAGAATATACGCCAAAATTTGGGCAATATCAGAAGCCATTTTTTGAAGCGCTTCAACATCCAAAAACAACAATAATTAGAACATACGAAAATGAAAGAGAAAGTACTAGAACTATACATTTAGCTTATCCCAAAGTTAGGTAAGATCTCTTACAATGCCGTGGACATATTTATATTTGGCGATCGTTACAGTCGACTTTCTATCCTCAAACATCATACTTCATATTCGTCCTTTGTACCGCAACGAAAAGAAAACGTTGATCGTTTGATTAAAAAAAGTCTACTATCGCTGTACAGTCATCTCTCGAAGGCGAAACTTCCACCGGAACAGTAAGTATTGATCTTTAATATACATTTTATCATTTATCTTTTTCATAATTATTCGATGTAGAAAAACACAAATTGTTCAGAATATAGAGGAAAACTTAAAATATGTCGAAGGTCTCGCTATACCCAAAAAGGATCACTCAGAAATTGTAAAAGATCGTCCACCTCCTTCTACGAAAAAACGCCGCCTTCGCTTCCGAAAACCACCACTGGTGGAATTTAATAGGCCGAAAAAGGAGCAGAAACCGCATGTTAAACGCATCGATACCTTATCCAGGCCGAAGATGCATTACACTGCTGAACAAAAGGAGTGGCAGCTTACGCCGGCATTAAAAAAATACACACCTTCCTCTCGGCTAAAAAATATGGCGCAACCTAAAAATTTACTCATGTACTATAGGAGTCAAAGCGTTGAGAAACGCATTGCCAGAACAGCATTACGATATGAAGGTAAGTTAATAAAGGGCCATTTTCTCAAATTGAAAAATATATATATATTTTTAATAATCAAAATGGATAGCTTGAATACAATCATTTATTTAAAGTAATGTCATTTAGATAGTTGGAATCGGGATATAGCCGACAAGACTTGATAGTGTTGACTTAAATCCTTTCTGAGTTAAATTTAAACTTTTAAAGCCACTGACAAAGATCAAATAATTTGCGAATAAATAAAAAAAAAATATCTAGGAATTTAATGGCATAAGTGTTAAATCATTTCGTATGTACCGAAAGAAATCGTGTCATAAAAAATGTTTAGTATATTGCCCCTCGTTCTTCCCATTTTCTCTAAAAATCCTGGCCGATATGGTGCGATGGCGGTCTCACCATTCACAATGACGCATAATGATTGAGTCAGATTTTCGTGCTGCGAGTGACGACAATATTATTTTTTTTGTTTTTTTGTTTTTTTTTTTTTGTTTCTAAAATTGACACGAGATCTCAGTAGATGTTCATTTAATCATTTCTCTTCACAGCAACCGACAGGATAAAGCAATTGGCCAAATCGAAAAGACATTATAATAGAAAACATGATGGTCTTAAAAGTTCATCGGCAATTTCACCGAACGCTTTGAAAGCTATAGCAACCGAACGCACTATCAGATTAGCAAAGCCAAAAATCATTATTGATATGAACGCAAAGAGTGAGCCATTTAAAGTAAGGCGAAGGGCCCTTCGAGCTCATGCGAACGAATACATCAGGAATCTGGCAATTCCGAAACATGTGAGGACAAAATATATGGCCCCTTTGTACTATTGATCCCATCTTAATTGAGTGATTTCAGAAATTATTGCAGATTAAAAATATCATATTCGGATAACGATCTATAAATGTATCGATGCTAAACTATTTATAGAGCGTTTCTCCAAAAATGAGCTTTTAATAATATTGTAATAAATTCTGAAATTGCATCGATTATGAAACATGGATATGGATATAATTAATGATAAGAAAAACTTTCACGTAGTATGTTAAAATAAAGATTTTTATTTATTTTTTTTTTTTTTTATTATTTTTTTCGAACAAAATTTTCATGTAATTGTTTTTTGTTATTTTTATTTTTTTCGATAAAATCGATATTTTTTAAAATATATTGTTTAAATGTTATGATTTGCAATAAGCAAAAACTCGACTTTATTAATATGTGGATTATTTGTTTTGAAAAGGACAGAATAATTTATAATAGTAGAAAATGAAATGAACAACAACAAGAACAACAACCATTGCTTCCTATTTTCACAAACAATATAAACGCAAATAAGAGAAAAGTTTTTCGGAATTAAATGATTATTACTACAATTAGAAGGGGTGTGTGTGTGTGTGTGTGCTAACATTCCCATTGATGTTAGCCTCTCTTTACTTTCTTCTTGCTACATCTTCTTTACGATCCAAAACCTTCTCTTCTCTTATTTTTTCTATTTATTTCGCGCTGATGTGCTTGCAACAATAATTCCCACCTTATTATAAATTTGTTAATCACTTTTTTCATTTATTATATTCAAATGAAATTCCAAAGCCTTATAAATTTTTCAAGGATACCGTTATCATCATCATCATCACCGAAAAAGAAAGGCGTAAAAACATGTAAGAACATTTGTAACCCTAGGTTCCATTAAGAGGTATTCCAAAGAGCTTAAGGATTGTTACATTACAAAAAGGCTATACATTTGCTTATTTACACCAATACTTACTTGACTACGCTTCTATTGTATGATCTGTGTTCATATAAGTGTTCTGTACATACCTTATGCCATGTCCTTAACCATGGCATATACATAAATTTGTGTAGACTGTTTACCGAAAAACAACGGCCAGTGAATTGAAAAAACAAGTTATATATATATAAATTTATATATATAAATTTTGCGAAAAACAAAAGTAAAAAATTTAAGAAAATACACCATTGAAAGTTCAAAAGGCCGAGAAAGGCATTCAATGAGGATGATGGTTCCAAGTAAATTTTGAAACAGGATCTGGAATTATGATAAACTTTTGAAACCGCCATCAATGAAGTTTTAAATTCGCAATCACAAAAAAAAAATAAATAAATAAATTAATAACTTATGTGGTAATAATCATAATGCTGTACGATAACTAAGGAAAAGAGCGAAATAATGAAAAATGTTAATTTTATAATAAATCACCTGTAAAGACGAATTACAACAGAGTGTTCATATGCTCCGACAATCAATGCTGAAATTTAGGTTAGTTTTCCCCCCGTTGTTCTTCAAGTGTCCAATCATTGCAATCATTTTACTAGTGTTAAATGGCTAAATATTTTTGCATATTCTGAAACTTTAGCTCTAGCTTTAGCAACTATTTGCCATAAGCTTTTGACATCGGTATCGGTTACAATTTGCATTTTAAAATATTTTGTTTATTGCGATCATCTTTTTGACAGCCTTGATGTATACACAAACCGTAAAACGTTTAAAGTTTTAATTTAGCGAATATAGAACTTTTCCCTTTCGATCTTTTAGACAACAATGCGAAACGTTGCTTTGAACGAATACAAATATTTATAGATGAATATCACAATTCATGATTTCATAAATCATTTACTTAAGTGATTGTCATGCATGGAAATTTCGTATTAATTTATGTAAGTAATATTTATTGCTCATTTATTGCGCTTAATTGCAATTTCTTCTCTTAGAGACTGAAAATTTGCATGGATCAATTTATTGCAATGAATTTTACGTACATTTTTTTTACAATTTTCTTTAATTAATAATTAGAAAGACGCTAAAATATACAGATGCTATATAGACGTGTTTACTAAAACGAAGGAGGGCATAAGATACAATACAATACGTTGAAGGAAACACAAAATAGGACAGTAGAGCTTCAATAAAATGAAAAAAAAAAAAAATAAAACATTTTAATATTAAACAAAGGAAGTAATTAAAAATATTCATCAAATTAATACTCAGAAGTGGATATCAAGATATACAGAAATATAAAATAAAAACAGTTATACATATATATAAAAATAAAAGAATGCCAAAAATATCAATTATTTATGTGAGGCATTTACAATCAGTATTAAAATAATTGTTGGCATCTAACTCATGGTCAGGAAGTGTTTATCCCGAATTTAATGAATGTTAGCAATAACAGCTCGTGTGAATTCTTGAGTAGTGGCATAGCCGCCTAAATCTTTAGTTCTGACTTTACCCTCCGATAAAACACGAATGATCGCATTAGTTATCATTTCACTGTAAGTGGGCAAATTAATATGACGTAAAAGCTTCGTACCGCAGAAGAACATAGCAGTAGGATTTGCCACATTCTTGCCAACAGCTTCAGAGAAGGTGTGACGAGCGCCCTTAAAAATGCAAAAATCAAACTTTTTCCTTAATGTATATTTTTATGTTACGTACCGGTTCGAAAACAACAGTATCCGGTGAGTATGATGCACCGGCAACAAGACCAGCTCCACCTACAATACCCGCGAACAAATTGTCTATAATCGAACCATATAAATTGGGCGTAACTAATACATCAAACTGGGAAAGAAAAATTTTAGAAAAAAAAATTTTAAAAAATACTTTATAAATACTTCTATTTTTTTCACATTCGCCATAGTAATATGTGTACGACATATCAGTGAACTCGCAAATTGCGCATAATCTTCACTTTCTTCATAACCCCGTGCGAATAGGAAATAATTTAGATAAACCTGTTTCTATCTCTTTGCAAGATTCTGATCGAAATGGCGAGCTTTTAGCTACAGCTTGCAAATACTTTGTCGCTCTCCATCTAAATTTAGGATTAATCCCAATGTACATTTTTCAAAAAAACATTTTAGGTGACCTTCTAAAATATGGAGAAACAATTAACTATCTGAAAACAAATTTACTTCTTGAAATTTCGGACTCTTCTCTATATCAATAGAATTACTTCCCAAAATCTTTTCTATAATTTCTTATAATACAGCAACAAATGTCTCTCGAACGGATATATATTCATTTGCAAGCATTTCAAAATAAAAATTTATTACCGCAGCTTCAACAAGACGATCGTAGAAATGTAATTCGAAAGTTTTCTGCGCTGCTGTCATAAAAAATTGAAAGCTTTGAAGTCTTTAGAGTTGATTATGAATTATATACATTTCTTGCCCATCATTCCCCTAAACGTAAATTGCAAAATCTGCCATTATCTTTGACCCCAAGCGGAAAAAGCGGCACTTTCGGACAAAGAAACGAAGAGGCGAAAGAATGAAAATATATATTTGAGAATGGAAGGATATTTCTATGGTGAAGAGACAAGAAGCTAAAGGAAGAACTTAATAATATGAAAAGCCAAAGCTTTAAAGAGGTGTTTTCCAAAACATGAATTTTCTCAAACCATCCCACGAAAATCTTCCTTTAATTTTTATTCTTCCCATTCAAATTCTGCAAGAGATCTTCAATATAATAATTTTTATCACGGTGCGAGGGAAATTTTCGAATAATTAACTATTAAAATTTATTAACAAAAGATTGCCTTTTTGGGCCGAAAATTAAAGGACGTTACAGTGGTGTTACCTCTTAGCAAAAAATTTAAAATATCCGTTAATAACCCGAATTCTCCTATCAAACGTGAAACTCTTCTAATGTATTACGCCTAATGTTATGTATATGTTTACATGGATACTCTTCGCCTGTACTATTACCTCCAATCATTGTATGCTGCTCTTGTACTATTTCTCTTCTCTTCTCTTAGGTTGTACTTTAGACATGATATTTTACTGCCGATCTGCGTCTAAGAAGTTTCGATGTTCCTGCCTAACTTCATGTTGGTATATTTATTATTGCGACCATAAGAATGCTTAAATAGATTCAAAATCGATGCTGATCAAGAGTATATACACATTTGTGTCATTTCTCTGAAACATACTTTTGACCATTACAAATGTTTTGACAAATGAATATAACCCCATTTTTCGGTACAAAAGCAATCAGTTGACTACAATCTTTATAATACAAGCTATCTTTTCTTCTCAAAATCTTACCTGATGTGGATGTGAAACAATCTGCATGGTGGTATTGTCCACAATCATTTTTTGAAATTCTATACGGGGATACAATTTTGCCATATCCTCACATGATTTTAAAAACAAACCGTCACCTAATTTCATTATATTGGCTTTATGCACCGAAGTGACCTTTTTGCGGCTATTTTTGATGGCATAATCAAATGCAAATTTCGCAATACGCGTAGATTTCTTGGCAGTAATAATTTTTAAGCACTCCACAATGCCTGGTACCGATTCATGTTCTAATGCAGAATATTCGCCTTCTGTTTGTTCTCGTATAACCACAATATCAATATCCTGATAACGTGTTTTAACGCCAGGTAGACTGCGCGCGTGCACGACGTTAGCGTACAAATCCAATTCATTCCGCAGCTTCATATTCAATGATTGCAATTCACCAACGTTACTATAATCAGGCGTAGCTAGAACCCCCTGTGAAAAAAGTATTAGAGGGGCTTGCAAAGAAGACGAATTTAACTTACCTTAATGCAAACCTTATTCTTGCGAATTGAAGCAATAACATCCTCTAATTTCGCACTCAATACAGGGTTTACTTCGGAGAGGAAGTAACATTCGAAGTCCACGGGTACATCGGCAGACTTAAATACATTCCAAGTTAATAATAATAAATAAGATCTCCAATCTATTTAAAGAGGCTCACCTTAAAAACTTCTTGTAAGCACTGCACCAACTCTGGACCTACACCATCACCCGGAATAAGCGTACATGTTGTACGATTTCCTCCATGCGCGCCAGGATCCTTTAACACATTTAGATGGTATTTATAAATTCGCGTTACATTATTTTCATTAGGATAAGACTTACAGTGTTAAGAGTAGCTGTAGCATGAATGGAACGTATCGTTGAGGTTTGCAGGCCCTAAAAAACGGAAAGCATTCAATATATATTCTGATCTTCTAAAGGATTTCGTGAATGTATTAAGAATTTGAAAATTTGCATCTTTGCTAAGCATATTATTTGTTGTTCTCGCAAGTGTTTATGTAAGCGCTAGCGGAATTAAAAAATTATAATATTATGTACCTGAATGAAAGTCCGACCAAGCGCTCTCGCCAACATAGCCGTTATTGTCTAGAAGAATTTTTTGTTGTTTGAAACTCCTGAAAAACCCGATCACAGCCGGAATTGTAAGAAAAACAAATAATCCCTCTTTAGTTTAAACAGAAAAAGATAAAAGCCTGCTTTTCTCAAACAACAGCTGTCAACTAGCGATGGCAATTTACAAAAGTTATCGAATTAAAGGAAATGAAAAGCAAGCATAACAAAAGGAACACCGATGTAATATGATGAAAATTTATGCATTAATCTGTTGATAACTTTTGGTTAAACAGCAAACCATTATTGAGTTGAGATTAATTTTTTGGATGTCGTTAATAAATCAAATGATGGCGGTAATCACTTATGAAAAATGTAGCTTAAGCTTCTGTTTTCAGCTGTTGAACACCTAAGCGAAAGTTAATCTTCAGCTAGATGATTATCCTTCTTACATTCGACTCATTTGCGGTTTTCGAAAATGCTTTTTACAAAATTTAAAAATGGGCTGAGCTTGAACAGCTGCTACACCAAACGCATGCGGAAATAGCGAAAAGTTACTTGGAGCAGATGTTATTCAAAATTAACAAACAAGCAAAACAATTTTTAATGTTTTTTTTTTTGTTAGTTTTTGTCTTAAATAGCAGCAATCTATTGTACAACGCTGTAATGAAATTATAGTTTGCATCATGGGGCTGTTCTGACAAACAAATTGGTTTTTGACATCTTTCGTTAAAAGCAAAATTGTGAAGTAAAACAAAATTGTTCAAAAATTATTGAGGAATTAGCATCAATTTCTTCTTTTACAAAATTTTTAGTATAGGGAAAATAAAATTTGCAAAATTTTATTTGTGTCTTATGCGTCTCTTAAATTTCTCGCACTTTTTCGTAACTTGAAAAAAATTGTATTTTTGAAAATTTAAATTGCAATGGCAAAATGTTTAACGAAATTATTGGGCAAACGACCGTCATCGCGTCTATCCGAATTGTATATTACAGTTCAGCCGCACACATTCCGTAGATTTTTGATGCGAAATGTTCTCGGTGTGGGAGTCACTCCGTATGTATTACGAAATTTATAAGAATTTTCATTTTATTTTAGTTATCTGTACGTATGTATGTGGCTTAGTGATAAAAAACCGGAAGAGTTGAAAAAGCCTACGTTACGTTTTATTCAATTTTTGAGAGGGAATGATGAACGTAAGCGTTTGGGTGTTGTATCCGAAGACGGCAATACTTTTGCTGAATTGTCGGGAGGTGCTTGTGTGTCTAATGATTTTCTCGCATTCCTCAAACAAGGTTTCTCATCGCAAGAGCTCTTGCACAAAATCGACAGAGTGCAATGTGAGCGCATGAATGATCGGTTAATTTTGCTACCCCCCATTATTAATCCTGGCAAAATTATTTGTGTTGGTCTAAATTACAAAGGTCATTGCGATGAGCAGAATAAACAACCGCCTACGGATCCCGTGTTTTTCAGTAAATTCGGCAATGCTTTAGTTGGTCCGTTAGATTGCGTTGTCGCTCACAGCGTCACAAAGGTAAATTTACAACATTACGTAACGAAAGAGCTGTTGATAATAATAGAACTTTATCTGCAAATTGATAAGAAACGAGTGAAAAAGTTATACTTAAAATTGATAACCTTATAATCAGCAACTAACAGTGAGAGGATATTATGTAGTAAGGAATCTACTTTGGGAATCTCATAGAATATACGCACATTCTGAACCAACCATTGATTTTGACTGAAATTATGTACATAAAAATTGAATTTTCAAAGGCTCAAAACTGGTAGAGAAGTTTTATATGCTGATTCCCATTTTTTTCAATACAATTCAGTTGACCGCCTGCACCCATAGGAGACAAGAAATTTAAATATAAAAGGATTATGTCTTAAGAGACAACTTGTTGACTGTGTGAATATGCATGTCTCAAGATCCTTAGTATAGAGAAATGTTTTTAATGACCCCAACAGGCGGAAATGTATAATATAATTTAAATTTTTGCAAAGTCCATTTTTTATTTACTGTGAACATATTTCTAAACAAAAGAACCAAAAGAAAGAATTCAATAAAACAAGTGGGAAGCTCAGGTCATCCCAAGACTCCGATAGCTTGCGGATTAGCGCGTGTTGTGCATAATTCCTTTATCCTTCGACTATTTTCGATCAACATAATGTAACATAACTACAAATCCAAGATCGCGCATATTTAAACAAAAAGAGCATATCCTTTCGAAAATAGACTAAATTAAGTTGATATATAATTAATTTATTTTTTTTGGCGTAGCGACTCGATTGGGAAGTGGAGCTGGCCGTTGTTATAAGTAGGAAATGTCGTCATGTTCAATGTAAAGATGCCATGAATTATGTATTCGGTTATACAATAGCCCAAGACATTTCGGCTCGTGATTGGCAAAAACGTAATGGCGGTCAGTTTTTTATCGGAAAATCAATGGATACATTTTGTCCCATCGGCCCTGCAGTGGTACACAGCAGCATGATTGGCGACCCACACAATTTATACTTGAAATGCACCATAAATGGTGAAGAGAAACAAAGTGGCAATACCCGTGAAATGATATTCCGAATTGATGAACTGATTTCTCGTTTGTCCAGGTAAACAATAACCTCGACAATAAACATCTACCAGTTTATGTGTATGTTTATTAAATTTATTAGTTTTCTGACTCTATTACCTGGCGACTTAATATTAACTGGCACCCCAAAGGGAGTGGGTATGTATCACAAACCACCACAATATTTAAAGGTCGGAGACGTTATCCAAAGTGAAATCCAGTGTGTGGGCAAAATGATTAATCAAGTCATCGCTCCGTAATTATAAATTTCTCGTACGCTATTTAGATTTTCAAGAAATTGTGCAATAAGTGCATAGGTTAATTATTATTGTAATTAGATTATTATGTTAAATTTGTTGCTAATTTGAATTTATTTTTCTACTTGTAATTGAAAATATATATAATTGATGTGGTCTATAAACAAAACTTTAACCTAAAACGGTATATATTTTACCTTTATTTTCAATTAGTAAGTGCGATAATGGCTCAGATTTACTAATTTCCATAGAATAAATAAAGATTTATACCTTAAATTCCTTACGTTTTGTAGCGAAATATTCGTCTCGACGGTGATAGGGAGCGTAAGGATCATCAATCCAATATTTTGGACGACGCCAAAAGCTCGTTACCATTTTATCGAGCAAATGTGCTTGTGTAGCATTAACAAACACATGTTGGCGCAGGCGACGTTTCAATGCGTTCGATTTCCTAAACATCTTCTTATGTCGACCGGTGCGTGTACGTATCCAACCGCCCCAGTCCAGACGTTTAAAGCGTTTGAGTACTGCTTTAACTGACTTGCGCTTACCTTTAGTCAAGGAGAATTTTGTAACACTACGACAAATCTGTAGCTGCTTACTTGCTGCAACAGCATTCAAACTCCCCGGTATAATAGTTAAAGGAATTTGGTAATGAGTGACACTTGGCTTCTGAACTTGAAGTAGCGAATAAAAGCTTTTCTGGAAAGTATTTCCCATAAGATGTTTATCTAAAAACGGTGTCATTGATACGGATCCGTTTCTACTCGACAGCGATGTCAAATAATTGAGACCCGACGATCTTATGCGAAGAGCTGCAAGTTAAAAACTTGACATCCATTATTTTCTAAATTGGAAATTATCATCAATTTTACCGTTCGCGCATAAATATCGCAACATTTTAGTTATATTAAAGTAAAATTACGGGCTAAATAATCATTCCTCAATAAACAAACTTCACTTCATTAATATGAAATGCAACATATGGAAAAATCACGTTCTGATGGATACGAGAAGCAATGGCTTTGGTTAAATTTTTCTAACAGGGATGTTTTCTTTTTGCATAAGAAAAACACACACAAACGTGTAAGACCTGAAATCGATGGTTTCCTCGTAAACGATTACAGTATTTTGCGTAAACGGAAATATTAAATTTAAGAGAGTCGTAGAAATATGTTGTAAGACGTTTTGTTCAACCTCTCGAACCTTACTTGAAACTATTTTCCTCAAACATACCGTTCAAATTCCCGATATACTTTGTACCAATAAATTATAGAACCAACACTGCAAGTCCGTACGTTTAATTATATCGAATTCATTGTTTTACTTCGATAGGGGCCGGATAACTTTCTTTCTCTCTCTCCCTCTCTCGAATCTTATCTCTCTTGTCCATGTACACATTAGTGTTGATAGCGCTGCTATTACAACTACATATTTATCTACTAATTAATATGGTTGGATTGCATATAATTAATCAAGAAATGAAATAAAATTCATGTCAACAGAATAAAATCACATGGTTATAATAAATATTGCAATATTAACTAATTTTAATAAAAACTTACGAGATGTTATCGAAAATGTGTTCTACTAAAGAAAAACAATAGTTTTGGAAAAAGTTTGTTACTCTTTTAATCACTTGGTAAATTTTTCTGCAATAACGCAAAGCAGACTATATTTGCTATTTGTTTTGTATGTAGCACGAAGCGAACGCGTACAATCTTTCTAGCGCCTAACATAAGTGTACGTTTCGTTTGATAGTGCATTTGTCAATCAATTTTTTTTAAATTTGGTTATACATTTTGATTAGTTTTAGATAAAAAAAAAAATATATATATATATATATTTAAAAATTACCAAAATTTGACAAATTAATTTTTTCTTTCTTAATAACGTTAATTGCCAACACTGCGTTTTTCACGGCTTGCGTACATCTGTCATATTAATTTTATAAACATCGTCAACATTTGATTTTTGACAGTTAAGCTGTCACCTTTGCTGTATTCTACCCTTCAGTCCGTAGTTTTTTGTTGCTCTTGGACGAAAATTGATTTCGGAAGGAATTTTTAGATTCCGTCATCGATAATAGAAAAAAAGGAAGTGAAAATACCGGTTGGGACACGTTAACGGTTTCGAGAATTCCAATTTCCTTCAAGTTACAGAAAAATGCATCGAGTATTACGAGTGCCGTATGCTATAAATGTGAGCTAAAATCAATTGTGCACATATATATTTTCTACATTGCCCGCTCCTCCGCTTTACCTACATTAAAATTGCAAATCTTGTATTTGTCGTGTTATGTCACCAATTGAAATCATATGAAGGAAGCTATCGAAAGAAAATAATATATTTTCGTATTTCAAAAACTATGGGTTTAATATTAATAACACCCAAAGTGGACGCTGAATTTCGTTGTCTTTGTTTGTCGGAAGATAGATTAATATTAGTTAAAGATTTTAACTAACATCTATTCTACAATTCGTGCGAGCATGAAATTTAACCAACTGCAAATATGTTTATATACAGCCACTTATGTCTAAGATCTTGAAATTGGTTGATTCTATCCCATACTATAATGTTTGTTTTAATTTCCAGAGAACAATGCAGCATCAGACTCGCAAACTTATAAGCAGGAGTGACGGTCGAGCCATTCATGTACGACAAGCCGGTTTCGGGAAAGTTGTCTTTATTTTGACACCATTTGTGGCGGTAGGAGGCGCAATAACCTATGCAAAGTAATATCATAATCTTTGTATTTGTATTAAAACATACAGTAAATTTTTTTTTGTTTTAGATATGATACAAATTTTCGAAAATATCTCGAACGAAATATTCCAGGTGCTGAGTATATAATTAAAGTGGCTTTACAAGAAGAGAAACCATTTAAAGTCGTTGGCGAACAATTTGATAATGTTAAAGATCGCGTCGGTAGCATTAGCTCGTCGATATCGGGATTTTTTGGTAGTGCCGAAAAAGAAACTAAAAGTACACCGCTTTTTTTTTTTTTATTTTAAACACTTGTGTAATTTCTCTTTAATTTTTTCAACAGCACAACCAGAAAGTGTGAAAAGTAAATTTTCTGAACCACAAAAAAAAGTAATTTTTTAAATTTCTATCAACTTTAGTTAATAAATGATGTATTAATTTAGGTGCCTGATATGCCGGCAGCGAAAGCAACTAGAGAAACAAAGAGTGCATTGCCACAAGTCAAACCGGTGGAACCTTTGCCTAGTGATATTATTGAACTGGAGCATGCTGTGGAGGTATCTGCTGCTTTAGCTGTTCAAGAGTATAACAAAGCCATAGATAATCTTAAAAAGTAATCACCATAATCGTCCTCCTAAATGCATGCAAGATATATTAAAATCTGCTATGTTTTTATTTCATTGCAGTTTTAATAATGATGTGCGTCGTATTGTTGATCAATCAATAGAAAACGTCAATCCTTCTTTGTGGCATTCTTTAAGAAATAAGACGAGTGCTCGCGACACTTATGTCGCCACTGCTGAAAATATGGCTCGAGACGCTTTAAATAAAATTGGTAAACCGATATTGCAAATTATTTATTTTTATTATCGTTATAGACGTAAGCACAGAATGCGGCCCGTCTATCGAAAGCAAAAACTATGAGACGTTAAATTAAGGCAAAAGTAATTTGCTTATTTAAAAAAAATAATTTTTTAATTTCATTGTTTAGAAAAATGTGAGATTGCCTTGGCCAAGGCTGCAAAGCCAGAAAATCATGATCAAATAATTGCCGTACGTAATAAGATTAAAACCTTGATCGATCACATTAACAGAGTAAAGGACGAGCTTTACAGAAATAAAGACTTGGCAAATATGTCTGAGAAATATTGGAAAAATGTGAGAGAAATTTTGCAGTTTAACAAAGTTTGTGAATGATATTCAAAACGATTTTACAGGTTGAAAAAGCCCGCAATTATTTTGTGGAAGAAATTGAAACAATATTTCCCGGCATCGATTTGTCTAAACAAAAATTAAATTTAACTCCGGAAGATTTGGATTTATTTATTACTCATGCCTACTCGCATGTATTGGCCTTGCAAAAGGAATTGCAACGTTTGCAAACTGATGGTGAATTGCGTTTAAAACGGGCTATTGATTCTATGCGGGGTGACAATGATTCCGACACAGTTAAAGCTCAATTGGAATATATGTTGGAATCCGAAAGGCGTAAGCTGGCACTTGAAAATCAAAAGAAAATTCTAAATATTCGTTCCGACTCCGAGAAGCAGTTGCGCCAGCAGCTGAAAAAACAAGCAGAAGCTCATAGTGATCATCTGCAAGATGTTGTCAATATGAAAGAAAGCGAATTGAAACGTCAATATACGCGGGAACTGGAGGATAAAATGGCCACTGAAAAAGCAAATTACAAATTACAATTGGCTGCCATGTTAGGCAAAATACGCGGCATGGATGCCGCAATGCAAGGTAAATTCAACTTCGAATTTATTTACAGCTCTTTTTAAAAATGTTGCTTTCAATTTAAATTTTAAAATGCGGCTTTAAGAAATTAATGAGGAATTAGAAGGTAAAAAAACCTTAAAAACCGAACTACTTTGCTTTAGTAGTCAACTTTTGTTTACACATCCAAAGAATTGGAGATAGAATGTCGAAGCAGCGTTAGAAAGAAGAATAGAGGGCATAGATATTCTAATTTTTGAAGTCGCGATAACAATTCTCAAACCTTGCAAATAATATAAGCATTTTCTTAAATTCTTCTTTTCTGCTTTACCCGCAATTCGTAAAACTCTTAATTAGATTAAAATCTCCCGGTTTAGTCTGTGATGTAGTTTTCCCCTTTGTGTGGACGTTACTCTGTTGGCGCATGTATAGGTGACACAATAGCTTTTGTCTAAATGAAATGAATTTGTCTACTTTGATTTGGGTAACCTTTACGAATACGGCCCTCTATCTCCCATACGTGACTTTATATATGCGCTTTTGCGCAAGATTATTAGTTTATGTTTTTTTTTCTTTATTGTCTTGCTCAACAATACTATCTATGTTTGCTACGCAACAGCTCGTGCTGAAGGTGAACGATCATCGCATCAAGCTCAAGCTTTATGGGCAGCTTGTCAGGCTTTGTGGTCTTCGGTTAGAACTGGGGAACCAGGAACCCATTGGAAAGCTAAATTACGTCCTTTGCGAAATGAAATTAAAGCTATAAAAAAAGTGGCAGGTGAGAAGAACCAATCAAATTATTGCATCACAATTTTTTTTAGAATTTTCGCTTCCTTATAGAGGGTGACGAGCTTGTAACTGTTGTTATACAAAATCTACCTGTTGAAGCTGCTGAACGTGGTGTCTACCCGGAAGATGCATTACGCGAACGCTTCCTTAATGTAGAACGTATAGCTCGCAAAGTGGCTTTAATACCTGAGCAGGGTGCGAGTTTACCAAAATACTTTCTCTCTTATCTGCAATCGCTTTTCATACTTAAGCCTTCAGATCCCATTTCAAAAGCAGAATTGCAAAACGCAAAATTCGATTATAGTAAATTGGACGTTTACGAAATATTGAATAGAGCTCGGTAAGTATTGGATAGGGTAGGGTTCGTGTTAAATTTTAATAATAAGTTTTTTTTTTTTTTTGGAATTTTCAGGTATTTTATTGATCACGGCGATCTTATGATGGCCTTGAAATATATGAATTTATTGCAGGGCGCCCCACGTAAAATTGCTAGCGATTGGTTGAAGGAAACGCGTCTACTGTTGGAAACTCAACAAGCTGCCAACACTTTAATGGCTCATGCTGCTGCCAGTGGACTCTTATATCTGTAATTAGTTTCAGTTCCTTCCTTCTCTATTTTCTATTTAAATTTTACTGGGAAATAGTTACGTTGAAGTTTAAAAATTGGATTATTTCAAAGTTGTAAATTTTTTTTAAAAATTTTAGTTTTTCGTATTTTTGTTCGGCTAATTAAATAATTGTAAACATTAAAATTTTATAATTTGTCATTAAAATCTGTTTTACGCGTTTAATTTTCCTTGCTCCTTACCAACTGAAAAAGAATGCAAATGCTCCTTTTAAGTATAATTTACTCTAATTCTATAAATAAATATGGGACACTTTAGACCGATAAATTTGTATGCCTTTGATTTGCGCTTTAAGCGAAGGGCAACAATGATTTCAATTCTTATAAAACTTGCTAACAATTTTTTATTTCGGCCTATTTGCAGATAATTTGTCGATGAAATATAAATAACTCGATTAATGAAAGATCAATGCATTGGTTGCAAGAACCATATTGTATGGCGCTCCTATTAATTACTGATCAACTCTATCCCGTGGAGAGTCAGGTGGATTGCTACCTTTTACCATATCCAAGGCAGCAAATTTCCAACGCATATAAGCGACACGCATACGATCCCAGATGTTATCGAATGAATCCATAGCTGGACGTACATCCAACAAAGCGAACTTATAATCCTTGTCCACAATACCTCCGTCGTAATAATCAATCACATAGCGCACATCTTTGCCACAACGATCAATAATCCAATCATGACGATCGAAGGGCAGTTCATATCTGGGCACAGTATATATAGTTAATTAAAAATTCACGGAAAATTTTATCGATTTATAATATTTACCCCATCCAACTGCGTATGCGAGCACGCGGACTAAAATCTTTTGCTTTACCCCCAAAACTTTTTAATCTTGGGTTACCGCATTCTTTTAAATGAAGCGCTTCCCATTTTAAGACCTCCTTCCAAGCCTGTTCATTGTTCGCGTTATGTATGCGTATAATGTCGCCCATATCTTTTTGGCTTACGTCTTCATTTTTCCATCGCCATCCTTTGCGTAGCATAGCATTCCAAAACATCTGTTGACTCGGATATTGCCAGAATTGAATAGTGCCATCCTCCGTAGCCTTAGGTATAGATGATGTTTGACGTTCCGTAGAAAGTGGGAAAGGTTGATCTGGCGCTGGTTTTTGATTGGCAGGTGGCATCATATTCAACGGATTAACGTCACTGTTTTCATGCCTAACGGGACACTCCGATGAGGATACAGTCGTAGCTACTAACTTTGGATGCGGCGGCGGCAGTGTTGTTGATTTTACGTTTCCTCCCTCCTTTTGATGCATAGGACATTCCGGCGGCGGTGCAGTTTCAGAACCGACCATTTTCTCATGATCTTTGGGTTTGCTGAATTGAGCTGCTTGCATATGAGCAAGGGAAACAGCGTTACCCATGCCTAAAAAGCTCTAATATTTTTAAAGATATTTTATTTTTTATTTGATTTTTACTAAGCTGTTTGTTGCGTAATTTTTTTTTTTGCAAAAGCCTTTAAAGGTCTTTTTCTTTGCATATACTTACAATTGAAAATCGCTTTACAATACTAATAAATGTTATAGTTTGGTCTTTCGTTGGAAGAATTTCTTTTTAATTCATCAATTAGTTATTTAACACACAGAGCCCACAAACATGGTTCATCTACAAGAAACTAACATATATTATTCATTTTTAAAAACAGTTGTCAAATTAAATTAAATTAAATCGGTCTGTCACAACTGAGAGAAGATAACAACTAATATGAAATAAGAAACAAAGTGAATGCAATGGGACGAACGATATAGAGACATTTATGAAACGTGTTTGATGGACTTCGGCAGTAGATTTCTTCAAATGTGATGAACAAAAGTGATGAATTTGGAAGAAGACGAATCTTGAGAGCTCCTTGATTAACGTCGGCATACGCTGAATAAATCGATATTATTAAACTGTTATTTTATGTAGAGGAAGATCAAAATCATCGAATTCAACCGTTATACACACTAGTATTTCCCGTTTCTTCATCTTTTTTGCCTTCCATTTTTCTGCTCATTACAATAAGATCGAACCAGTGCTGGCGGACGCAGTTAATGATTAGTTAGTTAGAATTTTTATATTTATACAACGAACTTTTATCTAACATACATGTACCTATATATATATATATATATCTATAAGAGAATAGCTGAAATTTTTTCTTCTCTAAGATTGATTATTCAAAGGGCAATTTTTTTAAAGTAAATAACAACTATAGGGTACGAATCTTCGTCGATTAGATTCAGTTTCCTGTTGAACATTTATTAAGTCTGCTTGAAAGCTCTATCCGTTGTTCGAATTGTGTAGTTTCCGAATATGAACCGAAATGATTTCCTGAACTGAATCAAGCCTTTCCGCAATTTCCGATGTTGTCAAAAGAGGATTTCGCCTTAACATGATCTGATGACGGCATTAGCGTCGATCAAAAATGGTCGCCCTGAGCGTGCCTTATCAGGAAGTTCGAAACGACCTATTTGAAATTCTACGAACCATGTTTTTGCTGCTCTATCAGAAACTGTCCCTTCACCAAATATCCTCAGTATATTTACAAATGCTTTTGTAGTATTTCTTTCTTGTTGGAATTCATACAAAATACAGTCATGGATTACATGATCGCGTTCCATTTAATGCTAGCATAAATCATCTTCGTTTTAATTCATTTGCTTGGTCAGAGAAATAAGAAATACATTATTGAATAATTTTCGAGATCTAACAACGGAAATGCCAAGAAAACCCTTAAAAAGTAACAACGATAGACTTGATAATCTTAATTATTGGAATAATTTATTGTTTTGCTATTTTTTCGTCCTAAATCGATTGAAAGTTTAGTTTGCCTGAAAATGCTATAAAATTGACCGTTTGGACTTCGATGTCCAAAAATCGACATCTAATATAAAAAAAATTCGAAAAAATTTTAAAATATCTTTTAGCATTGAATATTAGAGAATCCATAAAACATAATTTCTGTCGATTTATTGTCCTAAAAGTAATAAATTTGATTAAGAACCGCATTTACCTTTTTGCGAACGTTAGGTAAACTTTACTTGAAGACAATGTAAAAAAATGAAAAAACTTTTCGGTAAAATGTTACTTGCGACACAAATTCCAATTTTAATAAATTTCTCCCTGGGTAAGCTTTATCTTGACTTCAGCTATCAGCTGTAGGTTTTCTCGGTTTACGCTTCGCGAAAGCAATGTCTGAACTTGTCTCCATATTTAATTGTGACAATTTTTAAACATATAATACTAATTACATTTCAAAAGTTCAAGTTCGAAAGTAATCTTTCAGATCTTTGAGTAAATTGAGCGTACGTCTGTCAAATTTCACTTTTATTTACAATCTTTGTAACTTTGTTTAGAATCACTGGCCAGAAGACGAGACTGAACGCAAATTATAAAATTCATATATCCCGTATTACATATGGATTGGCATATGTCAATCAGAAATGGAATTTTCCAATTGTATCGTGGATTTTTACATCTTATATATAAATATATGATTAACATATAAAGTATATATAAAATATATATTTAGTATATATTTAGTATTACTAAGTAAACTAAGTCAATTAAAAAGGGAAAAACAACAAGTTGTTTAATAAAAAAAAAAAAAAGCAATGTATATTCACGTGACATTATATAACAATACGCTCGATTCACATGTTTTTATCTTGATATTATAGAAAAGTGGTAATAATTCACAAATGCAAGTAATTAAAACTTTTATAATTTAATTATAATAAATGCAAAATTAATTAATTGCATATATGTATAGTAGCAATAATTTCACTTGAAAGTTGAAATGCAAGTAATTGCATGTTATGCAAACCTTCAATTATTTTATGTTGGATTAGAAATAAAACTAACTAAGGTAATAAGTGTGCATATACTTTTGCGGATGTGATTCGATATTGAAAGTGCATTGCACGAAAGGTTTAAGTCAAGCTATTAATATATCTTTATATTCTGCTGTGCTGCCCCGATTTTTTCTATTCTAAGAACTTTCCCTATTTCACATTGTGCTATTTTGATTTTTAGATTAGCTTTTTAAAAACCGTTTTGATTTGAAGTCTTTATAAAAGAAAGCGAGAAAGAGATGCCCGCATTATGTTTAATTAAATTCCTCTATTCAGTCTGATTAAAAATCATTTGTAGGCTTCATCGACTCTTTGATACATATTTCCAAGTATTCGAGTTATTAAGAAACTTCAATATGGTATCTGCATTAGAGGAAAATAATTTCTATTAATTGCTTACGTATATGTATGTAATCAGTTACAAGAATCGATAAAACAAATCAACGACACGTGCTGCATACAAAATACCAATATTACAAAAGAAAATAATATATATATATATATATATATATATTTAGCTTAAGTCGAACTTGTTGATAGCGTTTAATTGTTTTACACTTTTTTGCGTAAATAAAAACACTTTATAATGGGTGTTATTTAAAGGTAAACGTGAGTAATATGTGAAAAAAAACAAAACAAAACAACTTAGAAATCACATAATAATTACTTGGACTGATGTGACTAATTGGTCTATTCACGTTAATCAAGTATATTTATATGGACTGTGGTATGTCCGTATCTTCTACGTTGCAAGCGTCTTATAAGCTTAACATTATATACGCGAGGTATTGTATTATGTTATGGGAAAGATCAAAAAACATGTAGCTTATCACTTACTCGACTAATATACATATATGAAAATGCATTTGGAAACTTTAAAACACAAAGATTTGATTTATTTTTAATTAAATTAATTTATTTATTTTTTATTTTTTTTCAATTGAATTATTTATCTGTTAACTTTGTGAATTGGTCAAAGCAAGAAAGAGGAGAAGTGGAGAGTAGAGTGGACGCAAAGTGAAATGCTCGCTAAGTTTTCTCAATCACTAATGTTACGTAAATTAATTACACAAAAATTCTTTCTTTATAAAGGTAAATTTTCAAAGTTTGTCGCGAGTAAATATTTATTTTTTTATTACATTGTTTATATATTTGCTTTGTGCAATGTAAAATTTAAGTTTAAATGCGTTTCTCTTAGTACTATGTCCGTTAAGGAATTAAGAAGAATTGTAAGGATTGCCAAGAAATAATAAATGCCCGAACAGCGTGAAAAGAAAAATAATTGTTATCGGTCTACTTGAATCTAAAAATGAAGATTATGAACCAAAGATATAATTGTGAACTATGCACCAATTGTCTGCTGCCAACACCTTCGTATCTGTTTGTTGTTAGGCAAGCAAATAAACTCTTTTTCTAATATTGATTGAAATTAATTTAAGACTTACTTGTTACAAAGCTTCATAATTGAAATATTTGCGATCAGTATCTGCGGTCTTTTGACTCTTATCAGGTAGCTTACCGGTTCCCTCCCGGTAAAGCTCTTCATTGTTTTGAGGGAGAACAGATCATTGATCCATTTTTGTAGATCTTCAATTTTTTTGCTACTGGTGTTGATTTGTTGACTAGGGCTACTTCGATCTGAACCACTGTTAATCCGAAGAAGATTGGAGAGTAAGCCGTAATTGGGCCATATTCCTAGCCGAAATTGAAGATCGCTTCCTTACCTGATTGGTTTTGCTACTCTTCGATTAACTTATGAGGAACCTGTTTTTCTATCTTCTGCATCTTTTTCATCACGTCTTGGTAATTAGAAAACCCTCTCTTCATAGATGTAGTAAGAAACGAAAAAGTAACTTTTATATGTTGGTCACACTATACCAATTGAATATGTAGATGTCAAAGACAATGCTACTCTAACCCACAAAAGAAATAGTTTCATTGCTTCGAAGTAGGGTCTAAGTCTAAATAAAAATTTCATTTATTAGATCGCTTGTAAATAAGAAGTGTTCATGGATTTGTTTTGAATCTAAAATTAATGACCTGTTCCCTACCTAAGCAGTAGTAGATCTCACAAAGCAAGTCCAAATTGATTACATCATATAGATGAAAGTGCGCCAACATTTCTAATTGAAGCTAAAGCTTTTCTTCAGGCCAAGAATTTTCCTCGCAAAGATAAACATAAAACGATTACCATCACAGATAGTTTGTCGATTATGAAAGCCATCTGCAAATACCTTAAATTTCAATTGAAACACTATTAAATTAAAATTTTTTTTCTATACCAAGTCATATTAGTCTCTTGGGAAATAAGTGAGCAGAGCTAGCAGACAAATCCGCAGCTTCTGCATCTTTAATTGGAAACGATGCAATGGAAAGTTTGACCTTCAAAGGTATATGAGGAAAAAAAATGTCATATAAAACTGACAATAAAAATCGAGAGCATACATCGTGCACTCTACTCCCACGCCTCTGTAGCCCATCAGCATCGAAAAAAACAAGATGAAAACAATTGCAAGAATACGTGATTGCGGGGAACGTAATTGTGAATTCGAAAACCTTTCTAATATTCCAAGATAAGTTTACGGAGCATTTAACCCTATGAGCATCTTGAAAATCCCTTGCAAGAACCCGACTTGGGATCCTTAAGAATTCTGCTTTTCCGAAAAGCGATATGCGATTGCGGGCAACGCAATTGCGAATTCGAAAACCTTTCTAATATTCCAAGATAAGTTTACGGAGTATTTAACCCTATGAGCATCTTGAAAATCCCTTTAGAACTTAATATCAATACAATTTTAAACCGCATTAAAGCTGCTAAGCTAACCATCATC